CTCTCACCTACCAGCACATCGGTAGAATAAATGTTTAACTTGAACACATTTATCTACCAGCACATCGGTGGAATAAATGTTTAACTTGAACACATTTATCTACCAGCACATCGGTAGAATAAATGTTTAACTTGAACACATTTATCTACCAGCACATCGGTAGAATAAATGTTTAACTTGAACACATTTATCTACCAGCACATCGGTGGAATAAATGTTTAACTTGAACACATTTATCTCTCATCTACCAACACATCGGTAGAATAAATGTTTAACTTAAATACACATTTCTAGAAATAAAAGATAAAACAGAGGATGCAAAAAAGTTCCTACTTTATAAATTCGTCATCAATCTTTTCAGTGTTGGTTCTCTTGATTTCTTGGAGGCCGTACATAAGTATGGTTTGGAGCTGAAATATCAAACCTATCGTTAATTCCAAATTCAACTTTGGTTAGAAGGCTTCACGTTAGGAATAATCAAAAAATATTAGAAAATATACGTGGAAACCATTCTCTTATTAGCATCTCCCGAAAGACTTTTTTTTTCCTCAATTAAAAAGGGATTATTAATTGCACTCAGACTTTAAGATACGTTTATTATTTAAAATCAAAACGATTTTCTTTAACAATACTGTGGCTAAGACAACCTGCAGGACATGCTGTGTGTTATTATCAGGAGTGATAGCTTAGCAATTTACCACTTTATGTATCTCGGACAGTGTTAATCCAAACTATCACATTGTTACCACAGCGAAAGTCACGTGATGCTGCTAGCGCATGCGTGACTGAGTTTCTCGAATTGGGGAAGCTCGAGTGTGATCGAGACGCCCCTTTGTTAGTATATAAGCCTGGCGAGAAAAGCCAGCGGGATAAAGCGAACAATAGTCACGGTGAGTTTCGGGCTAGTGTGTGCTAGAGAGCGAAGTTATCGAGATTGTGAATCACTGTGATTTATAGCGTGTATTATAGAAGGAGTTAAGTTGAAAGTGTCGAGAAACGTACTGACTGTGGAATTACTGTGTTCTAAAAGTTTATATCGAGAAAGAATAATCTGGTTTAATCAAGTATGAATTTATACTGGAAATTATCAAACAAGCAGATACGTAACAACATATTTTCAGTAGATGTGGTCTGCTGAATCCTTAATTCGCATACCAGATTTCAAGGCAATCCCTTTTTTTTTTCGCACCAAAAGTACGGAAATTTATTTTAGAGAAAAACATACTTAACTTTCATGGACATTTTTAAAAAACTTTAGTACACTGATAGATCTTTTAGAACTTACAATTAGGTGTCAAGGTTGGTCTAAACATAAGACTCATGTGCAAAGTTATTCAACAAAAACCGATCAATTTTGACCAAAATATTTGCGCACGCCTAAGTAAAAAGTCACGTGAGTTATTGGTCTAAAATGTTTACTACAACGTCCCCTAAGAGTAAGTGTGGATCAACGTTATCCGAAACGGTACTCCCTCATTTCCCCCATAGCTATCTCGACCTTCTTTTGCCCTCTAGGCACTGGCAACTTTTTGAAAGTACACCAGTCTTTTATGCCATTATATTGTTTGCGTCATTGCAGCAACATGTGCTGATCATCAATCCCATTGTGCCCTCAATAGTAGTGCAGGTAGCTCCCTCTAGCCTTGCAACACAATCTTCACTTTCGAGAACTGGCATGTTCAAACCCAAAAAATACTGGCAAATTAGTGGGGAGGAAGGGTGGTAAGTGGGCGAGAATGAAGTAACTGCTTATCAGAAATACATTTTTAGTGATTGGCATTCTCGTGTTCAAACGTGTGTTTTATGTTCTTCATAATTTTTTATTGTGCTTAATCACCAATTAATATCAGTTTCAAGTTCAAGTTTCTACTGGTTTGTTTGCAGATGTATCCGTTTCCCGATTTCTACTTTGTTCATATGAATTTTGGTTTCTTATGGTGATTGATAATTTTACCACCATAAGTAGACAGTGGTTATAATATTAGGCCTCAGGTTTCACGATGTCTGCTGAGGAAGCACAGAGATTCGTTCTCGGGGAGCTCGTGTCTTACGTTCAGACCAGCGATTTTTTCCTTTCAAGATAGGTATTGTTTTTTTTTTCCAGGAGATCTGTGGTAAGTTTCAAGTGTGTATTTTTCACTCCCCGTAGCTATACCCATGTTAAATAAGTTTATGTGAGCTTGTGTGGTTGGATCCAATTTCCACACTCGATAATTTACGTCATTCATGTCTTCTCTGATCATTGTTGTGTAGGTTCGAAGTTTATGATTCTTTTACCATATAGGTTACTCTTACGTCTCTGCTCATTTGGTAATTTCCGGTAGAAATTCTTTCTGAGAAACTTCAGCGATACAAGTCCTTTCTTAAATAAAACTAGTTTATTCTTTTTCAATACAACTTGGCAATACACTTAACTTCCACAGTCACTTAAACACACGCTATAATTCTCAACGAAT